GAGTTATCCTTCACGGAGGTCACGAACCGTGAGTCCGTGACCCCACGTTCTAACTAGCCAGCGATGTGACTCTGATACTCTAGTCGGCGGTTGAAATCCAGGACTCTCCCCAATAGCGCGGAGCAGCTAATGCAGGTTTTGGTGACGTCAGCAGTCGGCCAGTTGCAGTGGTGCAGTCGGTAGCGGTCCTGCCCCGGTCGCAGGGAGCGTGGCCGAGGCACGGTTTATCTCTGAGTGGGACGGCGGCCACCGAGCTTATCAGGGCCGACCGAGGAAATCAGAGCCGCAGAAACCGCGCCGGAGGTTCCGCCGCGCTCGGAGAGGGAGGGAGGGAGGGAAGGAGCGCAGGGTGGAGCGAGATGGGCGTGGGTCGGCAGAAATCCGAGGAGACGAGCAGGAATAACGGAGTCTGTAGCCCGTATGGTGTAAGGGTACTCGTATGTTGAAGATAGTTGAAACGAATGATGAAAATCGTTTGGGTAAGTTGAACTTCTGAAACAATTCGGAATGGCCTTCTCAATGAAAACGATGTTATTTCTTTGATCTTGATCTGTTTGGGTCATCCAGCTATCCAGTATAATTCAGTAATCCAGCTGGTAGATTTTGACAGATGATTGGTGGCTAATTCATGCAGAAGTAATGCTGACCGTGTTTGAATAAGAATGTGACGACGTTTCAAATAAGCTCGACACAAACCTTGGCCAACAATTTTGTCTCCATTTATCGTTACGTCAGAAGCAGCTTCTGATTAATTTTTGAATATGGTTCGAAGAATTTAGTTGTCTTGACGATCAACAGAAATAAATGAATTTCAACCTACCGGTCCAGTATGCGACTGCGCCACCATCAAACTCCTTCTCTCATTGCTAGGCCTGCATATCTTTAATTAAGTTTTATTCTAAAAAATATTCGGTTAACAACTTGCACATTTCTTATGTCGACTCGCAACAATGTGACATCCCATGCTTGTTCTTAGAAAAAAATGAGTTAAGCTGTACAATCAGTATCTATGTTTTGTGCTAAGGATCACGATTTTCTGGTCATCCAATGCTGTTCAGAATATTATGCCCCAAAACATAGTTACATTAAATTTACTCCTTTAGATGCACGCAGTCTAGGTTCGTGCCATTTGCGTTGAGCCCGGATAAAGTGGGCTTCAACAGTCAAATCCTTAAAAACCATTAGCGTCCATTTAACATCACAATCTGACGCCGTAACAGCTCACAGATCCGTGAGCACCGTTCGGCTGGTGTTTCCCGGTTACCTTGTAACCCGGGGTGCTGTTATGCGGGAAGTGGAGGGCGGAGCACAATTTAGATGAACGACTATCCATCCGACAATTGTGGACAGAAGTATGGTACTTGGCACACAAACGGCGATGCGACAAAATCCTTATTTGTTTCTGGACACGCTACGTTTAGATGAACGCGAAGAAAAGTTAAGGATTAGCATGGCCATTAAAACACAGGTGAATGCTGCTGTCCTATTTATCGTGCTTTGTCAACAGTTTTTTTTTTTATACAACTTTTTCATTTAAGGTTTTTCATCCGCTTCCGTTGCGCCACCGGCTCTTTGGGAAAGATGAACCAATTGCCATTCCTGAAACGCATTTCAGCTAAATTGACACCAGCATGCCGGATCGTAAAACTTGCACATCCCATAAATAGGCAATGCTATCAGCCGACGAATATTCCAGCACACCGCTTGAGACCTGAAATAGCTGGGAAGCCGTACACCGCGCTTCACAGCGTGTCGGGCACGGTCTATCGCTCAAGAGAGACGCCGCATGCCCGTCCTACCACCTGAATATGCCATCGGAGTGCACCTGACCACACGGTACACACCAGCACTCGATCAGATATCAATACACGGTACACCTGATCATACATACACTAGCGCGAGCTATACTCGACAAGAGTGACGTGTGTAATGCATCCATGGAGCGAGGTGGCAGCCGGAGGTAAACGCGTCGGAGGAGAGTGACGCTCAGACATCAAAACTGCGACATGCCGACCTATACGGACGGCGAGAGGTGGGCGGTTAGGGCTTCCGAAGTTGAGCGATGGGTGGGGGCGGTGTGCGGTGAAGGTTACGCGGCCTGCAGTTGGACGTTGCCGAGCAGTTAGTGATAGCGATGGGCGGTAGGGCACTGGAGAAGCTGAGTGCGGTAGGACGCTATGGCGGGAGGGCGTTAGAGCGGTGGGTGGTCGTCGGTTGACGGGGCGGGACTTACCCGTTTTCTGGCGATCTGCTGTCCGACCTTGCTGTGACAGGCCATGATGCAGCGCCAGAAGCCGGCGCCGCTGAGGGGACTCTCTCGGTCGGCTCCCCAGTCGTCCAGAGGGGGTGACATGCCCGGCTGGGGTAGCAGCGCCGACAGAGACAGCTGCTGAGACGCCCCGCCGCTGCGGAACACACAGACACACAGGTGTCAGGGAGGGTGGGTGGTAAACGGTCAAAGACACGGGCATATGGCAGGAGAACTCAAGCGATACCCACAAAAAAATAGCACACAGGTGGTAGTGTTGAAAAAAGCAGCGTTTCACTGGCTATGATGCTTTACTCTACAAATGTCTTTTATCCTGAATGATATTTACCGAAGTTCTAAACTTGTCACACAAGCACGACTATTGCTATCTCAATAAATTCAGTTTATAAGGTTCAGTCACTTTGTCCTCGTTTGGTGGCTATTATTTACGTACACCATGCCAGTCTTGTTTGCAGGAGCATCTCGACATGCAAATAATATCATCATGACAGGCCTAAGCTCCACACTGCTTAAGCAAAGACACATGGAGGTTTCTGATTCCACACTTCCCCTTTTTAAGGTTGATTCGGCTGAAAAATGAGTTCTGGTAGCGGCTCCTTTTGTGCAGCCTGTCGTCAAAAAGACCTTTCAATACATGACAAATTATGTGACGGTGTCAGCACCGCTTTGATGGATTTTCTAATGTCTGCTAGATATTTTTGTGTTGAGTGAGAAAAAGTGTGAGCAAAATCGCAATATTTACCGTTTTGTTGATCGAGGTGAAATATAGCCTTTATCACATGAGAGCAACACATGTGGCAACAAATCAAAGGAAACAAAATCTTCAGATTGTTGCACTCTGGCTCGGAAGAATTTCAACCATCTGATGGCATTCTATCACACTCAAAACGCCATATACAGCACACTCTGCGCACATGCTTTTGAAGAAATCGCGTTTGAATTGATTACATGTGATGTCGCATTGTTATTATCTGAAACAAAATCCCGTTGAACAAATGAAAAGCGAGCAATGAAGTTTGACTTTTCGATGCCCCAATGCGACAGTCTGCAAATAAGTATAAATGCAAAAACAAACTTTGTTTCAGTGTATTCACAACGCTCACTCAAACAAGATTTCAGCTAAGCATAGCGATGCTCGAACCGGCTATAAATTGAACATCTAGCCGTGAAAGCCCGACTATGCCTTTCGGCACTCAAGGCCATGTGACCACAGCAAGAGTTTTTTACACATCTGACATGACAATAGCCGTTTTCTCAACGACCATCTGGTATACATTTGGTGCACAGTTGGTGCAGATTAGGTGCAGATTTGGTCAAATTAGGTTCCGGTGTATATCTTCGTATCTATCAGCTAGGGTTGCGCTAATTGCGTATATGCCTGCTTTGTCATATTATCAGGGAGTATCATCGATTAAAACACTGAAATAAATTCATAAAATGAAGATATTCGCTGTAACACAGATTAGGTGCAGATTTGGTCAAATTAGGTGCATCCGCCGGATAGCCCGTCGTGAAAACGGCTAATATCTTTTATACCCCAGCCTACCCAAATGCCAAACAACTCAATGTGACTCCGCTCGACCCTTGAGCTGGACACGACCTACTAAAAAAAACATCAAATTTCCGTCATCATCTTGGGTTCGCCTCCGGGTGACATTAGAGCGGCCATCTGAAAATCCCTCGTATTCGTCTCTCATTTCCTGCGGGACACCTTCCGGTCGATCCGCCGGCCGCTCGGTCCGCGACAGCACGCAGTCGGGCCGCATTTCCGGCCGCCGCCGCCAGCTTCCGGTTCGACTTCCGGTTCGCCGCTCGGCCGCCATGCGGTGTCGGCGAGCGCCGGTCACGTGACTTCCTGTGGGCGCACGCCGGTTCCGGTTCGCCGTCGGACGAGCCGTCGGGCGCGTCGGACGGGTCGGCCTCGCCGGCCGCGGCGGCCGTCCAATCTAGGATGTCATCGATCAGCGGCAGCGCACCGCGAGTGGGACAGGCGGGAGCGCCGCTCGCCCGCTCGCCGCTGGCCGGCCTTTGTTGCCCAGGGCCATGTTCTTCGCCTGCCAATAGCTGATGGACGTACGGCCAGTCGAGCGCCAGGCCGGCTGATTGGAGGCTCTCGTGCCAGCCCAGAACAGTCGAGCTACCAGTGCAGTGACTCGCACCGCGCACGTAAAAATGTGATGGTGTGGCTCTCTTTCAAGTCCATGCCTCCCCATGCTTTTGGTCAGGGAGGAGACAGCCGGTACATCGCTTTCACCGACAGCCGAATCGTTCTCTACTCAAGACGTCCTTTGAGCCCTGAACTTGACCTAGCACTGAACACGACTCTTGGCGGACATTGACAGCTTCCATGTGACACACATCGGTCCATCGATATATTCAGACTCTACGAACAGTGCACAAGACGCCGATGACAGGTCACACGGTCGCACAAGCCGTCACGTCGGCGGGCGGGAGGATCGGCTGGGAAGAATCGGAGAGTCGCGCCTGGAGAGCTGAGAGAGCCGGTAGAGCCACGCCGGGAGAGCCGGGACCGGAGAGGAGAAGCGACATCAGCACCGGAGATCCTCAGCATTCAGCTGTGGCGGCCGGGACACGGCGGCCACTAATGGACTGCCTAATCCGGCAGTCTTGGAGCGGAAATGACCGGGACCGACCGAGCAAACCGCGGCAGTCGTGCTAATGCACTGCGGCCGGCGCCAGCTCCGCCGCGATGGAGACATATCAATCATCACGCCCGAAAGATGGCATAAGATTGACGTGGTTTACGGTGTGGATAGATATGATCATTTCTGCGTATTCTTTCTCCTAAGTCCACAACCCTTACAGTGTATGCGTGCACAAAACTCGACAGATATCCTTTTCACAGATCCAGATACCAGTCTTCAGTCAACAAACACCTCAAGAGCGAATGATTCATCAGTAATCCATAGACCCGAGCCTCTCGATTCACCTCACGGCCGCGCTGAGCAAACTCGCGGGCCGTGTGTTCGGGTCCGGGCTCGGCGAGCGGCGATCGATGACTTCCATCCGAGCCTCGGTACCGACACGGGCCGCCGCTCGACTCTCGTTCGACGAACCGGGAGACTCGACGAGCGGCGTGAGGTTCGCCGAACACGCGTCACGTGTTTCAGAGGGATAGGAGGATAGCAGAGTGGTTATGTTGAGCGAGGGAGCGTTCTGAATTATCTTTTGTACACGGACAGTCTCAGATGAATAAGAGGGATAAGAAAGAGAGAATGAGAGAGAAAGAGAGGAGGGAGAGAAAAAAGGGAGAAGGACATATATATTAAAAGAGAGAAAGAAAGTGAAAGAGATAGAGATAGGTAGATAGATAGAGGGAAAGAAAGATAGAGGAAAAAGAGGACGACAGTAAGAGAGACATTCGACAGCCGAGCATAGAGGAAAGAGAAAAAGCCGTGGTAGACAGAGGGCCAGACTGGGAGGACAGAAAGCCGGGCGCTGAGGACAGAGAGCCGGGCGCTGAGGACAGATAGCCGGGCGTTGAGGACGAGTCCGGGCGTTGAGGACGAGTCCTGGCGTTGAGGACCAGACCGGGCGCGGCGGTGGTGACGCGGCACCAGCTGTGTTGGAGCGCCGTCCGTTCGCCGGGACGCGGCTGACGGCCGCTCCTGATGTCCCAGGTGTGGTCCGTCAGCCGTCGGACACAGGCACGTGTTAGCTTTGGACGGCGCACAGACGCTACCGGAACTGGCGGCACCAGATCGCCGCGCCGCAGCGGCCGGAGACAGTGAGTCACAGAGGACGGTGACAAGTCGGACCCACGCGGGTACAGTAGGATAGAGACGGACATAGAGGTCACAAGCGGTCCCAGAGAGACGCAGACGGAGATGCAGGGTCGGAAAACGATCACAAACAGTTACAAACGGTCACGGTCACAAGCGATTAAAAACGATCAAACCGGTCACTGTCGTTTACAATCAGTCACCAGACTATACGATGCACACTGTCTGAGATAATCACAGACGGTCGAAGAAGGTTACAGCCTGAATCAGACAGCCACATATGGTCGCGATCTGTCAATCGAACACGCCTAGTCACAGGTGTTACGGGCGAACACAAACGATCACGCGGCCATAGAACGTGGTCATAGAACAACGCCAAGGGCACAGAACGCGGCCACAGACGAACACCAATGACAGACTGACAAAAAGAATGGCTACAGATGGTGACACACTGGCATTGTTGGCCAGAAACGCTCGCAGCTGGTCGCAGATTTTAGCAGCTGCTAACTGCTAATCTTAAATACATGAAGATGGTCACATAAGGTGCGGGCAGTCAAAATATGAATACGATGGGCAGTGAGGAACGGATGGCGTGAGAAAAGGAAAATAAAGATAGAAATAAGGAGGAAAGAGAGAGAAGAAGAGAGAGAGAGAGAGAGAGAGAGAGAGAGAGAGAGAGAGAGAGAGAGAGAGAGAGAGAGAGAGAGAGAGAGAGAGAGAGAGAGAGAGAGAGAAGGAGAACAGGTAGCAGAAAGAGAGAGAGGAAGGGAGGGAAAAGAAAAAGATTTTAGGGAAGGTCAGGAGATATCATGCCAGTCTAATACATTCAATAGCATAACAAAAGCAAATGATCTACAAAGAATTTTCTATTCTTATGCTCTGTGCTAGGACGGGAAAACAGCTTGAGTGAGCCGGTTTTACAGAGCAGCGTCGTATCCTACCGAATGGGTTGAAAAGAGACCCAGTTGCTATCGAAGAGACTATCGATCGGTCTCGGAGATTCATTAGTAATTCTGCTTGTCAAATGAATTGAACCACGGGCCATTGAGACACATTCTGCCGGCGAGCGGGGATCAGTTTCCTTTAGGAAATCATCCGGCATTGCAGACTGATCGAGCGACCGAACCAAGGAGCTGAACGGGAGAAGGCCGGCGAAATTCCGTCTGCAAACAAACGGGAGAGGATGTAATGGCAATCGACCAATCAGAACGACTGAATAAAACGCCCAGTGAGACGGTGGATTGTTACGGGCGCGGTGATTGGTGAAGATGCGTGTGCGTCGACCGCTTTATGGTCTCATTTTGTTCGATGACGATCATTTTAAGCTGCTCAAGATTCCCATTGTGGACTGAAGGGAACCGTATGTCGAAAAATAATGTAGCGGATGGTTGAT